TCTGGTTTATAATAAACAACCAATCAGCCAGTCAGTCAATCAATCATTTATTCAATCAATCAATCAATCATTCAATCAATCAATCAACCAATCAATCAATCAAACAATCAATCAATCAATCAATCAATTAGTCAATCAGTCAGTCAGTCGGTCAGTAGGTCAGTCAGTCAGTCAGTCAGTCAGTCAAACAATCGATTCATTCAATTCATGAATTCATTGCTTCATTCAATGAATCAATGAATCAGTCAATCAGTCAATTGTTCTTTATCAGTCGGCTTGAGCCAATGTCAATCAGTTAGTCGGTCGGTCGGCGATGGGTCCATCAGTTAACCTTTTTGTTTCTTTGTCTGTCCTTTTTTGTCTGTCTTTCTATCTGTCTGTCTGTTTGTCTGCCTATCTGTCTTTCTGTCAGTCATCCAGCCTTCCTTTTTCCCTTCCATCAGTTAGTGCACAACATTTTTTCCAAGGTGTAAGTTTTACCTGTGCGCTCCCATCAGAAGACTCCTGTCTGACCCATGGGGATCAAGTCCTGACTTGAGGTGCCATACGTCAACTCCAGTCTCAACAAACACTGATACAAACTCGCTATCTTCAGAAAAACATGGGCAGGTACCACAAGCTGCGAAAGAATATCGAGGCAAATCAAACAACACTGGAAGGAATTAAAACAATTTTGCCTGTGCTGCAAATATTTTTTTGGGTTTTTTACTTTGGGTATAGAACGAATAAGAAACAAAACTCCCTTTCATTACCAACTCTTCGGTCTTTGAGCGTTTTTAACTCAGTAATTATAAGATGCTAATAGCAACTGGCACTTTAATTTGTCGTTTAAGTTCTGTGGTGATGATTCTTATATAGCTAGACTACGGGGAGGGAGTGGGCCTTCTTGTACGATATTAACTGCGTAGCAGGCATTATCGGATTAGCAGGTTATCGTCTTACCTCCAGTAACAGAAACGGGGTATAAGCGATACAACCTCTGGACTGGCTGCTGGGCTTGCCACACCCATATTTCATGTGCAGAGCAACTAACTGCTAATTTGTCATCGCTTGAAAACGTGCACTCTTGAACTGGACCACTGTGATTCTAAAAAAACAAACAAAGGCAAGGGGGTTCGAATTTAAATGCCGGCGGTGGGGCGGTGGGGACAGTGATGGAATTTAAGCAACAAATATTTATGTGTTGATGAGAAACAACGTTGTTCCAACTGATTATTGTAAATAGCCTGTTTCGGGGGTATCCAAGGAGATTACAAAGGTGACTAGAAAAGACTAAATTGTGAATAGAGAACGTAACTGAGGGCAACTTACTGGAAGTTTCACGACCTTTGGTGAAGGCATGTTTCTTGTATCCCACAGTTGGACCGTGCTGTCATCTGATGCTGTGGCAATCAAAGGATGGCCACTTTCTCTGTTTCCAATACAACAGGCCCTAACTTCTGCTGAGTGGCCTGTCANAACTTGTTTTAGAATCTTAGTCATCACTTCTCGCTGCATGATCTCTATTCTTCAGAACGATCAGAATAAATGACGTTCTGGGCTCAATTTCTATTTATGTCGAAGTTTGTTTGTTTGTCTTTGTCTTTTTTGTTTTCCTGACGTGGAACTGTTACACCCAAAGAAAACAAAGTTAAAGACCAATAGCTTTAATTTCATAAAATTGGTCACATTCATGTATCAGCGTTTAAGGCAGAAACATAACTTAGAAATGTTTTCACTTTATCTTCTGGAATCAAAGACCAACGAATTAAAAACTCAACGCCCTCTTCACGCACCGGGAGTTCTTCTTTCAGGACAGGCTGACCATGAGAAGATGCTGAAGTACTGTATGAGCGTAGCTTGCCATGCGACGTCGCCAGAAAAATCTGCAATGAAAGATATCATCTTGCACAAATTAATCGTTACGGCATAGCTTCAGAAACAACTAAAAAAGACATGATGATAGATGCGAATGCAGCCATAGCACTACTGGAAAAAAGACCTGAAAAAAATATTTAAAAATTAAACAACTGAAAAAGTTGGAAGCAATAAGATAATTGATCAGTTCAAAAGAGTAAGTCCAAGTAATTGTACAATAATTTCCCAAGAACGTCATATGCATGTTGGAATCCCCTTCATTCGATTCCACTTACCTCCCAAACTTTTCCTTTCTTGGTAATTGCGATGCTTGCTCTCTCGTCTATATCGCAATCGACTTTTATCTCTTGCAGCGAAGTACCTACAAAATTGACCACAATGAACAAGAGCCGCGAATACGTCAAACATACTTCATTGTTTTCGATGGAAGTCCTGTCTGCCGCGAATTGCAAAAGTATGGTCTGGCCTCTTGACACGTTCATCCTTAATGAAGCTAGAACGTCACGCTTTGCACATATCTTGAAAAGTTCAGCCTAAATTTTTCATCTTCGTCGTTTGAAATCCGTGTTAATCTGCTCCACCCTTAATAACCATCGTTGTTCAGTCGATCCTTTATGGTTTATTATTATCAGACTGGTGTTTCCCTATCTTAGTAAACTATTACTTTCAAGTTAAATTTAAAGGTTATTTTGTACGTGGTCAAAATGACCCAAAAGACTGACTGAACTCCTTTAATAGTTTACGTGATAGTTGCACAAAGTGGTGAGATCATTAATACACTGTTGGTCTGTCTGCTCAGTGTATCATGATTGAATAACCTACCTTCGTGTTTGCCTCCAGAGCCTAAGCCGAAACGGGCAATGGACTTTGTACCTGCGACTGCGACCCAATGACATTGGTCGATACTTGCTGGAAACGATATCACGTGACAGTCACAATGTTTACTCATCACGGTGTAGCCACTAGCAACCTAAACAAAGGCAAAGAGCAACCGAGAGTTAAGTGCCTTTCCTGAAACACGCAGCACTCTCAATCCATCCTTTCTGGATGACAATGTTCTAGTTGGGGGATTAAGCTCCCTAGCTTAACTTTCTTGAGAATCTGAGAGAGGATTTATACTCATTTGTCCTTGTTTGAAGGTAAACTATATAGAAATACATGTACATAGAGGATATTACATGGTCTTTTGTCAGTTTTCGGCAAGGAAACTGGTGTCATAAAGCAACTTCGCATTGGCCAGTTGCCGGTTACAAGTTTGCAGTTCACTTTTTATCGGGATTTTATCTGGTCCCTTGGAAAATCTGTTAGCTAGGCTCTTGAGTGTACCAGGGTACTAATGATTTCGAAGAAACTAATTGAAGTTATTTTCACAGTAATTAAATCATGAGCTGTTGGAAATGAGACCAATAGTTCATTACAGTCCCACCAGCATTACAGACTCTCTTAACATCCATAAACCTCACCATGAAAACACGTAACACTCCATCTGCGGCGTAAGTGGCCAGATATTTGCATCCTTTGGAAAACACACATTTTCGGACCGCAGCCGGGTGCTTAAATGATGCTACGTTAATCTTTCGAGATTCAAGTTTTGTCAAGTCTCGCCATAGAGTGATCTTGTTACCTTCGAACCAGATAAAATTCATTGAATTAGTTCACCATCTTTTGTACCAGCTCCCCCAAGCCTGGTGGTCTTGGCGTTAGCCAAAACCAGGAGCAGACACTAATAGCGACACCAACAACATGTTAGCGACAACAACAACATTAAGAACAACAACAATGACGACGACGACAACAACGACACAATTTGAAAGGCATTTTAGTAACATAACATAGTAACATATTTTTACTCCTTGGTTGTTAAAAAGACTTCGCGCACTAAGGTACATGGGACTGACTACAAAATCACAAAGTTGAAATTCAAAGATATTGAGTTATCGTTAACTTTTACGTTTTCTTACCTGTGAAGTTGTTGGTAGACTTCAGATATTTCTATTGTAAAAACACAAAAAGAAGAAAATTGTCAGGTGGGACTTTTTACTGTTCATAACTAAGTCAAGATTAATTTGTAGCGGACTGACCAAGAGATGCAAAATAGAATAAAATAGATGTGAAACATAAAAGAAACCAATGACGAAAGTTATCGACGACTTTCTATAAATACTTACAGATAAAAAATACTGCTAAGGGCTTAACTTTTTACGTGCCAAGTATAAGGAATTTACCGGCTTCATTTTGCCCTGCATTTCTTTGAATGTTTGTTAGCGTGAACTCGTTGGGCATCGAGACGGTTTATTTTCATGATTTACTTCTGTCAACTTTGTTACCTATTTGCTGGACAATTCATATTGATCCCATTATAAAAATACTGAAGACTAATGGCATGTCATAGTAATCAGAAACACAAAGTATACACAGAAGGCTCATCAATTAGTAAGGGTACTCAAATTCTTGTCGAGATGATGGAATTTACACACTGCGGCACCATTGAAGAAGGTCGAACGGGCGTCATTGAGTAGTGGCATAATGAACGTTTCTTGCGAACAGATAAAGAACTGATAAGGCATCTTCGGAACATTTCCTGACCAAAAACCCTGTGCAGTTTGAGGTATGTTTAAACTTTGTCCCAATATTAGATATATTAGAGTTTTTCTACAAAACAATTGGTGCGAAACGAATTTACAAAAACTCGTTTTTCATACCTGTAGAGGAAGCCTAACAAACAAGACTGAAATACTCTTTGAAATCGAATCAACTCACCTGCGCCATAGTTGTACAGTATGAAATGTCCGGTTCATTAAGACACAATTGTGGCACCAACTCAGGAAACTGACTCAGGTGCTGGGCATTGGCTCGGATACAGCTGTAAACATCTTCGATGATAGCTGATTTGTCTTTGGCGCATTTCAGCGAGGCCTACAAAAACAACATGTAATTAATTCCTATTACTTCTAATTATCTCTTCCTCGAGCTATCTTCTTTGAGGTCTGAGAAGTTTTAAATCTTTAAAGTAAACTACGTGTGTGTTACTTACAATTCTAAATGGTGTTCTCTTTTTTGATAACACTCCCTTCTTCATTACAGTTAAAACCCACGTGTAAGAACCTCGAAGTCTGGCAAAATAAGTTCTTATATTTTGGGGTAGTTATAGGCAATTTAGGCTAAGTAGGTTCTTAATTAGGTTCTTAATTTATATGAAAGAGATATAGATGGTTATTACCAGAAAACTGAAAACACTTGAGTTTGGTTCTTTAATACTATATACAGTATTTAGTCAAAACTGTATTATGATAAGCCTAACGCCACGTCATTACAAAATGTATATGCAGTGTTGCCGCTACAAGAGGAGTTCATAATTGAACTATAACCCACATATAACAACCTGCTTGATCTTGCTTGGCTAAACAGGTTCTTACTGTTATTCTGTATATTTATGGGTTTTAAAATAGCACATTTATGCCAGCAGGTTCTTAAACCACTTGGTTCTTACATGCGTGTTTTTACTGTACGGAAACATTATATTTGTAACTAAATTACCTCGGAGAGTTCTAGGGTGAGTTCAAAAGCTTTACCAGCCTTACATTTTGCCATGAGCCACGGAATCTGGCATACAATCTAGAATATAAGGATTTTAAAAACGTCATTTAACCTAGAAAGCACATGAACATTACATCAAGAAAATACATCACTGAGTACAACTGAACGCACTTGAGAACACAGTACATGTAGCTATTTACGCAAATCAATAGCAGTGGCCGTGGTATTCCGTAGAAACTTGACAGCATCCATGAAATAACTCTTCTCTTTATTGATTAAAATATAAATGAATATCTGGTTACCTAATAGATCTTTTCTGAGCTGTCTTTTGCCTTTTTGGCAAATCGAGTCTTCGTGCGATATCATTCATATGAAAATGTTCTCGTTTTAAAAATAGCTTGGTTCATTACCTTGCAATATGCATTTCATGTGCGTTATAGAATTACCTAAATAGAAGTAACATGAAATATATTTCGAACCTCCACAAATTCATTCCACATCTCAGATCGTATTAAATGGTAAGGGAGCTCACTCAATTTACGCAAATTGTATCTGGGTCCAGCCTCTTCATCTTCCAAATCCATTCTTTCCTCGACCTCAGTACTTAGTATCAGCGGTTGGTCCGCCACCATCCTGTGAGCACTTCTTATGTTACCTTGCTTATCTGTGTACGGCTTTGCCTCGCGTGCCCACCTTCAAGACAGAAACTGTCTTAAAACCTTAACAACAATGTATCGATAGTTGTAGCATATACGATTAAGTATAAAACTTCTTGCGATTATACTTTGTTGCCAAATTACTTCTGTTGTTTGTCCTCGTTTTTGTACAATTTTCTTACGGTGCTGGGAATGATCGTTGAAGCATGAGTTCTCTTCTACTGTCTCATCACATGCTTATACATCTGTTTGGTTTAATTACAAGTTCACAACAAAACTTCAAGTTTCAATATTGAACAATATTCATGCCAGGAATGAAATATGAAATCGAGGGTTATTAAATCTTGTCATTACTGTGTAATAGACCATTTTCGTATTCTCAGTATTGTACTGTAGCTACAATCATGGACAAATTGTGTTGGAAAATGCCAAAAACATGAAATCGCAATCGTAATACCTACATAATAAGTGTCAACACCCCCATTTCCCCTTTCAATGTTGGAAAACGGTAAAATGC